AATTTATCGTACAGGACGATCAGTCCTCTATAAAAATTTCATCCAGATGAATTAATTTTCGTCCAAACGATTAACCGACTTAGGACAGTTTTCAGCAGTTTCTAGAATCGACCTTGTAATAACCGTTCGTACTGGACGAACCTAGTTCGTACAGGACGATCAGCTGTACGAAGACATTTCGTACACATATTCAAATAGGGTCGTTTCAGATCGTTTAAGTAAAATCGTCCAGGACGATCCACGATCGTACAGGACGATCCACTGCGTACAGAATTGAATACTTGCAGTTTTTGGGCGGTTTTTCTTTTTTGTATAAATAGTCCAAATTAGACTGCCACCCAATCTTTTTGTCATTTGATCTTCGTGCCTCTTGAGAGAATAGCCAAGGAGAGAGTGGAAGAGAGCATTCAAGGGAGGATTCCTACCACTGGAGCGAGAAGGCTTCACTTGGATTGCTAAGGTAAGAGTCTCTACTTGTGAAATTGGATTTCTTCACTCTTTTTCTTTCTTCCTTCTAGATTCTTGTGAGAAGATCTGTCAAGGAGATCCGGTTCTCTGCTGACACTTGGAGAGTGTGAACAGCCGAAGGGTTCTCTGCCCACACTAGGAGAGTGTGAAAGGATGGAAGGGTTCTCTGCCCACACTAGGAGAGTGTGAAAGGATGGAAGGGTTCTCTGCCCACACTAGGAGAGTGTGAAAGGACGAAGGTTCTCTGCCTACACTTGGAGTGTGTGAAAGGACGACGGTTCTCTGCCAACACTGGGTTTTGTGTGAAAGGACGACGGTTCTCTGCCAACACTGGGTTTTGTGTGAAAGGACGACGGTTCTCTGCCAACACTGGGTTTTGTGTAAAAGGACGGACGGTTCTCTGCCGCACCGGGGAGTGGTGAAAAGAGTGTGTTGTAAAGGTTTCTCCGCCTTGCTGTGGGTGCAAAAGGAGAGTCACTATTGGTATTAGTGCAATACTCAGAGGGTGCCTCTGGGGAGTGGATGTAGGTCTGGTTATAGACCGAACCACTATAAATCTGGTGTCATTTACTTTACTGTTTTTACGTTTCCGCACTTTATATTTCAGTTTTAAAAAATTCTGTGGTT